TTATACTAGCGACCCGCCCTCGCTTCGCTTCGGAAACATTAAAACACACATGAAACCAAAAAAATAAAATAAATAAAAATTTAAAAAAGTAGCCTATGTTCATCAGGGACAATGTCGGCTTCTAATGGAAAAAGAATTTTTCAAATCGGTCCAGTAGTTTCGGCGCCTATTCGAAACAAACAAACAAACAAATCTTTCCTCTTTATAATATTAGTATAGATATAGATATAGACAAAGCTTTCAACGCCTTACAGTATTGTCATCACGCGGTTGTTTGGGGGAATTTTTTTTTTTGGAACAGGTGGGTACATCCCGAAATTGGCACAAAGAAATAAAGTTACCTAATATACGTGAGCTGGGCGGATCGCTTCCCGGGCCTCCGATGGGCTCGTGTCGTTGACCCCGACGCCATGACAAGTCGTGGGGTGGCCCGGCGTAGGGGTGGGTACACCCTGATTGCGTTAGGAATGTTTCCATTCACATATTTATACCAAACTAAATATACCGAACAAAGAAAAAGCTCTGATTTTGTTTCATCGCTTCCTTAGGGCTGTGTCTCTAGTGTCTATAAGCCAGGGGTGGGTAGGACGGGAACTTTGTGAGCCAACCTAGATGCTACCAACGTTTTTTTTTTATTGCATAGATAGGTGGACCAGCTTACAGCCCAGCTGATGTAAAGTAGTTACCGGAGCCCATAGACATCTACAACGTAAATGGCGCAACAAACCTTGAGAATGTCTGTATAGTTACAACGGCTGCCCTACCCTTCAAACCGAAACGCATTACTGCTTCACGGCAGAAATAGGCGGGGTGGTGGTACCTAACCGCACGGACTCACAAGAGGTCCTACCACCAGTACTATATAGCTCCGTGGTTCGTTTTATCATTGATCTTTCACTCGTCTGCTCATATGGGTCCCTAAACCCATCTTAATCACATCGCTTGATCTTGCCTGTCATCACGCTGGTCTTGTCCGGTTATTTGCAGATACTACCGGACAAATCAGCCAATAACCCTTCGCTACAATAAAAAAATATACATAATTATTAAAGTCAACGATAATATTGAAAGTTTTTTGTACAATGGACACTAACACCCACCCCGAACACGGAACTGTAAAAGTACAATAGCAACATCCCTAATAAAGTACTAAGCTGCGCGCCAAAATCGTCCCTAACCCGTAGAGCGCAAGTACAAAATTCTCTTGAGTGAAACTTAAGTGAAAATTGATCCAATAGAAAACATTGTTGCAGACTAAAACCATTCTTATATCAAAGCGAGAAAGTCTAGATTTATTTATAGAACTTTACTGATTGCCGTATTTCCGATAAACGATTATAGCTTTTATCTACCATCAATAAAGCTAATAATTGTTCGAACTGATAAATTTAATAACGTTCTGATTGAATTTCAGGTGTTTGAATTCGAAACCTTTTGCGTTTGCTAGATAAAAAAAAAACAAGAATTCGAAAAAAAAAACATCTCTAATACTCAGCTAACGAGATATCAATTTTCTTAATAAAAGCGCTACCAGAAAAGCACAGCTTCTGTCTTTGAGTCATCCGGGGTTCCGATCCGTATATCATCTCCCAATTAAATATAAATTAATCTTAAGCAATGAATGAAATGTAATCAAATCTTAGCTGTATATTTTTTTTATTTTTGATGTTAATGCACTGTCGATTGCACCTATAATTGAGGTGACATCGGCCATGAACGTTTGTCAATTGTTCAATGTTTTGTATTGATGATCACTTTGTTGGTGCAACTTAATAAATAAATAAATAAATAAACTCAGCTTTCTTTCGAACACAACTGACACTTTGAAATCTAATTAACTATACTGAGATCTTAGAACTTATATCTCAAGGTGGGGGGCGCATTTACGTTGTAGATGTCTATGGGCTCCAGTAACCACTTAACACCAGGTGAGCTGTGAGCTCGTCCACCCATCTAAGCAATAAAAAAAAAACATCCCGCTAAATTATACTTATGTACCAGTTCTGTGGATTATTTAACATGAGTGCGGTAGCAAGACTTGCTTAGTAGCTCGCGGCTGACATAAACTGGAGAGTAGCCTCAACCCGCCTCAAACCGACCTCAAAAGACGTCCCGGCCCCAGTAATTACGCAAAATTACACACGATGTTATTCTAATATCATTACGATGTCGGAGAACATTTGTGCCAAGTACTAACTAACTTAAAAGAATTTGATACTTGCCTGATGATTCGAATATTAGTTACGTTACGACTGAAAATATTTTTCACCGGTGGTAGGACCTCTTGTGAGTCCGCACGGGTCGGTACCACCACCCCGCCTATTTCTGCCATGAAGCAGTAACGCGTTTCGGTTTGAAGAGTGGGACAGCCGTTGTAACTATACTGAGACCTTAGAACTCATATCTCAAGGTGAGTGGCGGTGTTTACGTTGTAGATGTCTATGGGCTCGGGTAAGCACTGAACATCAGCTGAGCTCGTCCAACCAACGGAGCAATAAAAAAAATACTAATTAAAAATCCCAAAAATAAAATAATATTTATTACATACTTGTATTAATTACCACAATTCCTCTTTGCTTCTCTTCGCCTTCCAATTAAGTAAAATTTATGTAATTTATATAATTCCCACTACCACAATTGAGAAAATATTCTAAGCTGTGGAGTGTAACAAAGGATTAGACTTTCTTTTAGATCTTCTTTGCCTAGACTCGAGAATGAGCACAATGGCGTTAAGAGGTAACCGGAGCCCATAGTCATTGACAACGTTAATGCCAACACCCACATCAAAGCATAAATTCTGAGTCTCTGTTTTTTTTACCTACCTGTCACGAATACGTTGACGGGTTATTGCTAGCTTCAATAAATGCGTACGCGAGATATCGGAGCTCAGCTTGGAGATTTGGTGTCCTGACCCTAGCAAGAGCAGTGCTTCGCTGAATCTACCACCGGATCGGAATCACGACCCACTGAGAAGATTCTTCGTGAAACCCTACCAAACCGGAACGTATTATTGTTTCAGAAATAGGCAGGTGGTACCTATCCGTGCGGGCTCACGAGACGTCCTACCACCAATAAAATATGTATACGCATGCCGCAAAAACAGTGCCCCCTGCGGTGGTCGGATAAAACTGTAATGTATATCATAATTACCGCAGTGTACCTGATTTTAACTTGAAATTGTCAGGAATGACTGAGGTTTTGTTGTTGGTCAAGAGAAATAAGCTTTGTAAAATGCGTGCGTCCCACATTGATGGCGGTGGATCGCATACCTCAAATTCTCCAAGGACATTAGAATCGCGGTAAGGCATACTGTAGGCACGCACGGGTATGTACCACCGCCCTGCTTATTTACACCGCGAAGTCAGTCTCGCCTTTCAGGTTTGAAAAATTCAGAAGACCAGAACCAGAAGAAACTTTTTGTTGGGACAATCATTACGGAATACATTTGAGGTTATGACTTCATGTATCGAGCTGGCCTTCACATTGTAATATGCATGAGCGAATGAAACCACTGAACACCAGACGAGTGTGTCAGTACTTTAACATAAAAAAAGAACGATCTATACTAATATATAAATCTACAGTAGTTTTTACGGATGTTCCGTTATAACTACTGAACCATGCATCTGATTGACTTGAAACTTGGTATCCATGTAGAAAATACATGTACTTAATGGATAGGCTAATATTTATATGAGTGTTGGACTCCCTACACCAGTTGCGGGGGCGTTAATGATGAGAATCTTTGTGGAGGTGAGAAATAATAATGTTCATTTTAAATGCCCAGCGAAGCGGACGGGTACAGCTAGTTACTTATAAAACGACAATTACAAAGCTTTTTCACTAGTTGTACCATAAAATCTTCTTCTAATCATTCATAAAAAAAAGACACTCTGTACGACAAAAGTTTTAACTGAAAACTAATTTTATAGGAAGAGGCAATTGACTTAATTGTGAAACTCTATAGAATCGAGATGGTCATCATCACAAACGAAGACCTCAACAAAACAACTGCTCGTTTTTTTTTTATTGCGTACATGGGTGGACGAGCCCACAGCCCACCTGGTGTTAAGTGGTTACTGGAGCCCATAGACAACTACAACGTAAATGCGCCACCCACTTTAAGATAAAAGTTCTAAGGTCTCTGTATAGTTACAACGGCTGCCCCACCCTTCAAACCGAAACGCATTACTGCTTCACGGTAGAAATAGGCGAGGGTACCTACCCGTGCGGACTTACAAGAGGTCCTACCACCAGTGAAAAATATTTGCAGTCATATAAATCTGTATAAATGTGAAGTGAGTACACGCAATGAAGCCCAATCGAATCAGAGAACGTTATAACTATACTGAGAGCTTAGAACTTATATCTCAAGGTGCGTGGCGCATTTACGTTGTAGATGTCTATGGGCTCCGGTAACCACTTAACACCAGGTAAGCTGTAAGCTCGACCACCCATCTATGCAATATAAAAAAAAGAGACTTAATATCTCCGAAGACTTCATAACCGAAATATTCTAACCGAAGTTTCATAATAAAGGAAATTATTTTTCTTTAAGAAACAACACTCTTTACATTCATAAAAGGCGTTTCTTGAATTTAAGCGTGATGTTGAATTTTCGAGCGCAGTACATCGCATCGGTCTACAAAAGTTACAAATCAAAAATTCAATATTCAGTGAGATAATAATGATGTAAAGCCGGTTGGCGGTCGCGTGCTACGGTCGCGTGTAGCGGTGTGTAGCGGCGGGGGTTGAGCACAAAGCGCGGCCGACGGGGTTACGAGTCCCGGGCGGATCGATGCCGGGGTGGATGTAGTTTTTTCGGACAGTATTCCAAAGCGGGGGGTGAACGAACGTTACGTNCAAATCAAAAATTCAATATTCAGTGAGATAATAATGATGTAAAGCCGGTTGGCGGTCGCGTGCTACGGTCGCGTGTAGCGGTGTGTAGCGGCGGGGGTTGAGCACAAAGCGCGGCCGACGGGGTTACGAGTCCCGGGCGGATCGATGCCGGGGTGGATGTAGTTTTTTCGGACAGTATTCCAAAGCGGGGGGTGAACGAACGTTACGTAAGGCGGTCGATAGCGGGCGACATGCGCGGGCCGCCCCGCCGCGCCGGCAGACACCACCGCGCGCGCCGACACCACGCTCGTGCCGCGTTTTCTTTTACCGCGTTTTTCGTTTCCCTTTCGTTCTTTCCGTTTGTTTTCCGCCATGTCGAAGGGCGACAGCGAGCAGCAGAACGGCTCCGGCGAGGAGTCCAAGACCAATCTGATCATCAACTACCTGCCCCAGAGCATGACCCAGGAAGAGATCCGCAGCCTCTTCTCGAGCATCGGTGAAGTGGAATCTTGCAAGTTGATCCGGAACAAGGGCGCGGCCTTCCCCGACGCGCTCAATCACGCTCTGCACGGCGGCGGACAGAGCCTCGGCTACGCCTTTGTCAACTATCACCGGCCCGAGGATGCGGAGAAGGCTATTGCGACCCTCAACGGCCTGCGTCTCCAGAACAAAACAATCAAAGTGTCGTACGCGCGCCCCAGCAGCGAGGCCATCAAAGGTGCCAATTTATACGTATCCGGTCTTCCCAAGACCATGACTCAGAGCGAGCTCGAGCGCCTGTTCAGTCCGTACGGGCGCATCATCACGTCGCGTATACTATGCGAGAACTCGGGCGGGCGGCCCTTCACCGGCGGCGAACAAGGTTTGTCCAAGGGCGTCGGCTTCATCCGCTTCGACCAGCGCGTGGAAGCGGAGCGAGCCATACAAGAGTTGAACGGCACCATACCGAAAGGAGCCAGCGAGCCTATAACAGTGAAGTTCGCGAATAACCCGAGCAACAACGGGAAGGCGCTAGCTCCGTTGGCGGCGTACCTACCAGCCGCGCTGCGGTTCCCCGCGCCGCTGGGCCGGTTCAGTTCAGGCAAGTCGCTTCTCGCTATAAACAAAGGATTACAGCGCTACAGCCCTCTCGCCGGCGAGTTACTCGGAGGGGTCCTGCCCGGCGCCGTGGGCTCGGAGTGGTGCATCTTCGTCTACAACTTAGCTCCCGAGACGGAAGAGAACGTGCTGTGGCAGCTGTTCGGGCCCTTCGGCGCGGTGCAGAGCGTGAAAGTGATCCGCGACCTGCAGACGAACAAGTGCAAGGGATACGGGTTCATCACGATGACCAACTACGACGAGGCTGTGGTCGCCATCCAGTCCCTGAACGGGTACACGCTCGGTAACAGAGTGCTGCAAGTCAGCTTCAAGACCAACAAGATAAAGACGATCTAAGATCGCAGGGGGATCGGCCTAGCCGGGCGCTAGGACGGCACGCCAGGCTCGCAACCATACATGCTAGAAGTTCCGCACCGGGAACAACTCCGCGCTCGACTACTCTCCTACAGAAGCGACGAAACACGAAATGGCGGCGCGCATGTTACCACAAGATGGCGGCGCTTCGGGTGCCGAGCCGGCCTCGCATCGAACCGAACACGCTGGTAATATAGTCAATAACAAAATAATGATATTAAACTTCGCTTATGAACGGTTGTGGTTATCGAGAAAATAGTTAACGAATATAATAATTATTTAGCAATAATAGCCTGAAATGCTATATTACGCTCCAATTTTGTACGCGATCATATCTGTTTAAGTATAACTGTGCGATTGTGGTGGGGGCCGCCTTAGGACCGATTGCCAAATGTATCCGCTCACAGAGACCAGGTCCGCTACTGGCCACTCGCTCCCCAGGCGCTTAATCGAAGTCAAATAGTATTATATTGTTAAAGATTGGATGAGATGAAAAAAATATATTATTATCTATACATATATTTTAATCAATATATTAAAATTAAGGATGAAACTAATCAAAAACTGTGATAGGTTTTGATAAAATTTTAAAAGGAGATCTTTGAACGGTATTGCGGTCACGGCGACGGCGGGTCACACCCGGGCGGCGGGCGGGGTTAGATTTACACATTTTTGAGAGAAATTTTGAGGAAAAACCGTCGGAAACGCTTATAGGGCGCTGCCGTAAGTAAACTCGTAAGTTTCATAGGATTTGAGAGTCGAACCGAGCAAAAGTGGGCCGTGGGGGTACGGGCTTAGGGGGGGAGGGGGNTTGAACGGTATTGCGGTCACGGCGACGGCGGGTCACACCCGGGCGGCGGGCGGGGTTAGATTTACACATTTTTGAGAGAAATTTTGAGGAAAAACCGTCGGAAACGCTTATAGGGCGCTGCCGTAAGTAAACTCGTAAGTTTCATAGGATTTGAGAGTCGAACCGAGCAAAAGTGGGCCGTGGGGGTACGGGCTTAGGGGGGGAGGGGGCTAGAGGGGGTAAATCGATGGAGCTCGTTCCGGGATCCGGGAAGCTCGCCCGGGAGGGGCCAGGGGGAACCCGCCCCGAGGTCACCAAGCCACACGGTGCATACTCTAACTATGGTGCATACTCTAGTTTAATGAGGTCGTCTACTCGACATCAAAACATACCAGTACCTGCTATTTAATGTATGGATGGATGCGAACCTGCGTCTATTTTATGTAGGCTTTAATTGTCTTAGTCTAAATGGAAATTTGTAAATATTATAAAATATATATATATATATGTATGTATAAATATATATGTTTAAACTCGTTTAGTTAACAAAGAAATAATGAAAAAATTAAAAACAATAGAATGATTTCGCCGCGTCTGCAAACACGCCACGCCATTACATTAAACTCAATCCGTAAAAGACCTATTTGAAAACATCGAAATTGAATAGATAAATAATATCGTGCCGTCCTATCGACCCTACGATTTTTGTAAAAAAAATATTTACTTATAATAATAATAATAATAATGATGATGATAATGATAATTTAAAAAAAAATCGGTTTTGTAACATTTCAAATATTAATAGGTACTTACATATGGTTTAATTAACAAAAGATGGAGATTAAAAAAAAATTACAAGTATTTATTATATATTTATTAATGTACATAATTAAAAAAAAAAACGTGCAATAACTAAATAGCCATTAATTAATTAAAAATATATTAAATTAAATTAAAAGTAATATTTATAAAGATACTTGACCCGGTTCACTGCGGGTCACAGCGTTGTTTCACGACATGTTTATTTACTATTTATTGTGAACGATCCAAATACGCGGGAAAACGACATTATTATTTCACTAAAATAAAATCGCTTTAGTTTCATCCAGCTTAAATATTATGCTTATTTTTTTAAATAGCATTATAATTTACAGTCATTTATTTCGGGTTAATAAACGCGATGCGCAGCGCTTAGGGTCCGATGACCGATAAGCAATTTAGAATTTTTATAAGATTTTTTAAAACAGCGTTAAACACTGTTTGTGACAGCCTGGCCGTGAGCGCTGAGCATCCATGAGCAAACGAACGAGTGAGTGGGAACGAGCGCGTGAGAATAAAAGCACAATTTGCTTGATATTAGAATACTCTTAGGTTTAAAAATTAAATAGTTGTTGTAATGTGTTGTTTCCACTTCATCATAATATTTCTACTATACTAGAAGCTTGATGGGTTATGAAAAAAAAAACTTAAAATATTTTTGAGTAGTTAAAATTACGACTTAATGTTGATTAAATTAATCTTAATGGTTACAAATATAAATAATTCTACTTTTTGTGCATTCGTTCTTAGCGATACTCTTATTGATTTAGTGTACGTGCAATTCATTGTCTATTTACTTAATAATTAGTGTGTGTTTAATTGATATTTTGTAATTTTCAATACGTTTTGTTTACGGACATATTGTCGGGAAGCTGTCACTAAAATCACAGAAAAAAAAACACGCTAAAGAGATGATCTAGATACGATTGAAATAATAAATTTTGGAATCTCGATTCTGTGTCTGTAAGCAAAGAGTATCGAAAATTCGTTAATTAATACAAATTGATTTATTTATTAGTAAAATATATCGGGCGATTAATCCAAAGCGAAAATTTGAATTCAGTTGTTTCAAAAAAAAAAAAACACGTTCCCATACTACCTAGTACTAAAATCGCGTCTCTCTTTCAGTCAAGAACGACGGAACTAATACTAAACTATACTAGGTGGTATCAGAACAAGTATTTCGTTGACCTTTCCAAATTTGTAAACTCATATTTTCATTCTTTTAAAAAATATTTAAAAAAGACGTCCTCGGGACGGATATTTCATCGAAACAAGAAACACCAAAAATATTTAACTGAAAACTCATCGACTATTTAGGTATAAATTTTAAAGATATATATATAAATGATTGCGGGTTAATAATAGGGCAGTTCGTTAAGGTACTTGCGGTGGGACAGTCCAGCTGATCGAAAAAAAAAAAAAATATTTCTCTGAAATGCTCAATAGCTTAGTGGGATAGCTTAGTAGAAAATCAAAAAGCAATAATAACGAATGTGAAAATTTTTGTAAACCATACTTAGCGTATTATGCAAGTCTATAATATTTTTGTATGTATTTTAAGAATATACTATAAATCCATATCTTCATAGTTTTAAGCGAGGGCTGGATCTGTTCTACGACTGACAAAAGTTTTTGTGATTGTATGGATTTTACGAAGTGTCCTCAACTTGCACAAGCAGAGCAAGAAGTCCGCGCGTCGAAGCAATCACGTTGCGATTTAGATGAAGTCGCGTACGCTGTGCTTGCGAGATCTTTACGGTCGACTGCCATCTAGAAATCGTAAAAACACAAACTCATAGGAGAATTTTCGTAAGACAACTGCACTTGTGAAAGCTTTTGTCGTGTCCTTTTATCTGCAAAGTTGCGTGAGAATGGTAACGGATGATCTACATCGCGAATCGAACCCCATAATGTGAGCGAGACACCCATCGGCGTCCGTATTGCCGCTATTGAATGGTGTTTTGATGCATTTTATGGTATTTAAAATAAAATTGGCATAACAGAAACAATACTATATAACGCATAGGCTAATATGGATGTGGCTGTGAAATTAGCAAAATGAATAAAGTTAAATAATCATGTGGCATTTGTTTGAAATAAATTTATAAAATAAAAATTAATCGGGAATAAGGAATCGTAGAAGCCAAAATCGCACGAGTATTCACTGTGGGATGCGCGGGTGTAGGTACGCTTGGATTTTGAAACTAAGCGACAGTAATTCTCGTGTATATTTTAGTTCTACGATAAATATAACGTGCTAACACGCGTTTAAATATGGTTAATAGCCCATAATAATAAGTAAATCAATTGAACAAACGAAAAACTAATTTAAATCCGTATTGCGTGAAAATGTCCGAACTAAGAAAATGTTTATAGGAAATAGCTGTATTGTGGAATTTATAAAAGCATTTTAGAGTTTTTTCTAAGCTTATGGTGCGATAGATGGGAAATGACGCGTCCATTGCCGTGAGCACAAAGAACATGGCGGTAGTGTTGCGCGCCATTCTCTATAGTTAAGACTCAAAATAATAAATCTTCCATAGGAATTATAGTAAGTTAAACTACACGCGAAACGTTTGACAAACGTCTCAAATGCGATACGTGGCCAAGAAACGCTCAATCATTTAATCGGAATACAATATCGATTTTAATCGACTAAAAAACTATTCGAGTAAAGTTCGCGTTGTAGGTAACGACACATCGACTACTTGTTACTATTACGTCATACGTCAGATTTTTAAATATATAATATTGTTAAAAAAAACGCAATACTTTTGCTAAAACATTTTTCAAAGGCCATTATGGCTGCATTAATGATATTTTAAAAATGAATATTTGTAATCTTTGCTCACTACATACTTCCCCGACTGTTTTGGATCAGTTTCTGTAGTTTCATAGTGTTAAGTGAGATTTTAGCAATAGATACAAATGTTTTTGAGACACACGCCGACCTGCTCTCGGTATGATTACTGGCCGTGATGATTCAATAAGCATGCCATCCATGAGAACCAGTTTTGGATCTCAACAAAACATGTCGATAAACACAAAATACCGCACTAGAAATTTATGTACAAATGCCATTGTAAAACCGACTCAATCAAATTGAAAATATTATATATTTTGCAATGGTCTTTTCTAAGAACATTCAAAACGGTGTTTTATGGTGTTTTTCCCCCCAAAAAAAAATAGACAGTGAATGGAGTGGAATCGAGGATTGTTTTATCAAGAAATTATTGAAATTTGTAGACATAACCTAAATGTCGAATTGATAGATTATTACAATAAATTAGTAAATAAACATCGGTCCTAGTATCGGGTTAGCGAATTATTATTAAAAAAAAAACAATAGTTCGAATTTAAAAATATATTAATATCATGTAATATCAATTTCACTGTCTATTTACCTAATGTTAATTGTTTTCGGTGTTGTTTCCTCTTCTAATGGTTTGTTCCCATTTCGTATCGATAATAGATTGTAATAAAGGTGATGAAATATCGATAAAGTCTACTTACCTACTACACGTCTGTCACTATCTGAATCTTTAAAATTAACATCGATTAACTTCAGTCATAAAATCGAGTAAAAATCATTTAGTATGTAATCGATCGACTGAAACGCGACTGGCTGATAAGCAATAATTTTTATACAATATTATCGTAATGGGGACGAACCGAGCATTTGCAGAGTTCATGTGATCTAGTAAATTAGTCGATTGGCGAGCGTTTGAGGTGTCAATGAACCCTTCCAACAAAATCGAAGAATATTTAGTGGGTTTAAACAATTGCATCGTAAGATATATTTATGAATCTCAAGAAAGTGAAGTATTGACGAAGTATTTTACGATTTTCAATGTTAACAAATTGAAAGCGATCGTATTTATTAATGAAACGTAATGTGAAGTCCGCCATTTTCCTTATTTAAGCTAGCTGGCGACACTTTGATACGAAATACGTATTTTATAAAACTAGTGAAAAAAATATATAAACCAAAAAAGTTTAAAAAACACTTAAGATCTTCCGGTTTAAAATTTAAAACAAAAAAACGTCAATATTTAAACATTCATTTTTGTCTTTTTATGGATTATTAAGTAAAATTAAGCTGTAGGCGTCTATGTGTTGGTGATGTACCGATTTAGTTGATATATTATTATACCTATAAACGGTATCTCTATTTATAACTAATTATTGTGTCGAATGTAATAATTACCTCTGTAGCTTTTGTGATGAATATTCATTTGCACAACATGTAGTGGAAAATATCCAAGTACACTTTTGACTTATGCTTATCCGTTTTCGACTGAATAATGTGAGTGAATACGGTTACTGACATGAAATTTTAACGATAAATCAAAGGAAGCAGCTAAGAAATAGCAAGCGTGGCGGTCAGTGCCATTACAATATCAGACTGTTCGGAAACAAAGCAATAATTTAATGTAAATAATAATTTAGTTCGAAAACGGTTAAGAGAAGGTACTTTTTTTAAAATGGTTCCTAGATTAAAAATGTGTATTTGGAACTCAGATACCTAATGAGCTCGAATTGTTTGACAACAAAAAAAAACGTTGACACAATTTACAATAACAATTTTAATCTAAAGCCATGTTAAAAATTTGGTGTCGTTTTTAGTATTTAAATGTTGTTCCAAATTATTTGTATGTAAGATCGTTCAAAACGGTTCGCTTCCAAACGAACTTTCCCGAAAAGTAGGGCTACTGTTTTGTGGAAAATATCGTTAGGGATAATCCGTAATACTTCATGAATAGAATGTTTAAAATGCCTAGTGATTTCCCTAAATAAGCATCGTAAAACCAATATATATTTAAATATATTATATTATGTAGCGGTTATGTACTTGCTTATTTTGATTATTAATTAAAATATTTTTCTCGTAATTTATGTGTCTATTTCTAATTTATGTATAATAAAAAAAAATATGTGAAATATGTCATTCTCTTCACTTTATACAATAGTTTATACAATATGATATTTAATATCCTCAATGGTTGTAACTATACATTTCTTGTTCTAAATATATAAAAAACCTGAACTTTGTTTTATTATTTATAACCCACAACAAGCCCTTGAGTGAAAAAAAATAGTAATATCATTGTAAATAGACACGCTTTAACAAAAACCGACTTCAAATAGAAAAAATAATAATTCCAAAACAAATTAATATACACTAAAAACAATGATCATCGAAATCGGTTGACGTGATATTGAGTTATTCATCTATTTGTCGCGCACGTACTTAAGGCAGATTTAAGAATTATATGGTTTTCTCATGGATACCATTATCAGAACTGGACTAAATTGAAATGGGACCACAAGGGGAGCGTCAGCTTTCTAATAAAAAAAGAGTCATCAAAATCGATTCACCCAGTCAAAAGTTATGAGGTAACAAACATAAAAAAAAACATAGTCTTATCGAGAACCTCCTCCTTTTTTGAAGTCTGTTAAAAATTAGGTATTTTATAACAATATTGCTATTCACCTAAACAATAATGTTTCGTAATGTGTTATTAAGTTTAACAGTATTATTTTTCAAATTTCATTAATGAGACATTTTTGTCATATATTTCCGGGTTCATGCAAAAAGGTTCATTCAATTTAATCACTGCAGCCAGCATGCACCTTGAGGCATTAGATCGTAGTCTTAATTGACTTTTATAACAGCCATCCCAGACTTTCTTTTTTATTGCTTATATGGATGGACGAGCTCACAGCCCTCCTGGTTTTAAGTGGTAACTGGAGCCCATAGACATCCACAACGTAAATGTGCCACCCACCTTGAGATATAAGTTCTAAGGTTTCAAGTATAGTTACATCGGCTGCCCCACCCTTCAAACCGAAACGCATTACTGCTTCACGGCAGAAATAGGCAGGGTGGTGGTACCTACCCGCGCGGACTCACAAGAGGTCCTACCACCAGTAGATGCGATGCATAACTGCAGAGTGTTACTTTTAAATTATGCCACGGATCGTCCTATAGTAACCTAAGTGGTAATCCAAGTTGTAGACCATTTTTGTGCGAAATCTTTGCGTGATCAAGTAACAAACGTTGTGAATAAAAACCCGAAGTCCGACAGTAGGACGGATTGTAATATCATGTGTGTCTGTGTGAAGCAATGATAGTGGCAATAGCTCCAAGTGTCTGGGTTCGCATATTCGTCTTGTTCTATGCACAGCCGAAGACAGTTTTTTACTGGTGGTAGGACCTCTTGTGAGTCCGCACGGGTAGGTACCACCATCCTGTCTATTTCTTCCGTGAAGCAGTAATGCGTTTCGGTTTGAAGTGTTAGGGCAGCCGTTGTAACTATACTGAGACCTTAGAACTCATATCTCAAGGTGGGTAGCGGCACTACGTTGTGGATGTCTATGGGCTCCAGTTACCATTTGACACCCGGTGGTCTGTAAACTCGTCCACCCATCTAAGCAATAAAAATAAATAAATAATCCCCTGACCTCCTCTATTCGCTTACCGGATAACCCTCAAGTGAGATAGATATAACACAATATCATACGATTCTACACCATATAAACCACAATCTAAACTATATAAGAGCATCTAACATTGTCACATATAGAATGTAAATATGCCTACATCAAAACAAGTCTTTGGCGAAACCACAATTATCGAACATTAAAATTAGGTACGTGACTTAACATTAAATTATTGTCTTATCGAATCTATACCCTCTCGGTGAAACTAATGTGTACATTGGAACAGCAGAGGGTGAGGTTGTTGAACCCAACGGCCGGGGTGAACAAACGGGAATCCTGGATATTGTATACCGTAAATAATTCGGATGAGGGTCGCAAAAATATGATATTTTTCCTAGTAACGGGTCGGGTTCAACATTTTGTAGGTACTTTTTAAATGCCTCACAACTTAGGTTGCCTTGTGATATAAATTGAAGATCTTACCAGAGTAATAAAAATAAGGCATGTAAAAAAAAATACAAAAAAATTTATATCTTAATTTAGGGTTAGGGTTGCCACCCGTACTTTATAATAAAATATTGTACGTTATTTCAGGTAATTGTACTTTAAACTTTATGTGAACAATAATGTACACGAAAATACTTTATTTGGCATGATTTGTTTTTTTTGGGATTTTGTGAAGTTTAGGCATATGTATTTTTTCATTAAGTGCAATACATCGATTGCTCAATCGATGTCGCCTCTCGCCAACCACACGTCACTTATGTATTCTTTTTTTTAACAAATATTTCTGACCGCAATTTAACCTTAATTGTCAACAATGTGAAATTGTTGTATAATTTATTCAATAGTAATAAAAATATGTATTTAAACGTAATAATAATAAAATTGCACTTTATTTTAATACTATGTACTTTTTTCATACCTACAATAACCAATGTATTTTATTTGCGAAAACAAAAAGTGGCAACCCTAGACGCAGTACTTAAAACTTATCAATGTTGTTATTTAAATATGTGTTTATATGGTACTACTAGTTCATAGTTAACATGCATGAAAGTATTACACCAGGGTATTGCCACCAGCATGTTTATAATTCTGACAGTAGGTATTGTAAGTAGTACGGGTAGGCACCACCTTCTCGCCGATATCTGCCGCAAATCAGTCTTGCGATCCGTTTTGAAGGGTTGGACACTAATTACACACACAATTCAGTTGACATTACGAAGTAGCAAGACGCCATCTATTGGCAGTATAACGTCGGCGCCATGTAACTACTGTGGCCGAGAGATGGCGCTAGTTGTAGGTTTATACAATACCTTTTTCATGGCGCTACCCTTGCAGTATTACCATCGATTTGATCGATTGTACAAAACACATCCAGCCTGCAGTTTGTATGTGTGAAAAATAAAAGACATATTTGTTTGTAAAAAGTTTATTTACTAATATTTAGACATTTAAAGGTACCTATTACTGCGCGATGTGATTTCCAACTTCGCACAAAAACTGAGATTCAGCTGAAAAGGAAAGACATTGTAAAGTTATATTCATTTATATTGAAAATTATTGACTATTATCCTTATAGGGGTTTGATGTCCGGAGTGTTTCGGGGTCTCTGGTTGCGGCTGCGATTTGGATCCAGAGGTCACGGGGTCAAGAGAGACGGGGTAAAGACAGAAACCAAGGTTTGCATTTAACAAAAAAACCTTAAGATGTTTTTTTTATTGCTAAGATGGGTGGACGAGCTCACAGCCCACTTGGTGTTAGTGGTTACTGAAGCCAATAGACATGCACAACCTAAATGCTCCACTCACCTTTAAACGATTTATAATCAAATATAATCAAATTTAGGTTCAATTATTATTATCAAAAACCGTATCTCGCACATTATCGCAAACCTGCTACATTAGAATTTATTGCCATCAGAATTTGTTGAAGTTTTGGACGTCCAATATTAAGTTTCTATCACTCTATAAAGTACTTGAAGTCCTGTATTCTTATTACTGAATATGTTTAATGATCTTCAATGAAGTGTGCGGTGCCTTATTCCTTTCAGTAACGGTACCTACTACAGTATAATTTAGAATTGTACAGTTTGATAGAGCACTCACCCTTATGAGTTTTAAGATGAATTTTTAAATTTCTTATACAATTAAATTTCTCCTGACATATCCTGCAGCGGTAATGATAATCCACAAACTGGAAAAAGAAAAAGTTTCCATATATTCTTATGCTCTTTATATTACTTAATTAATTAATAAAAAATTCATTTGACGTTCACATATTTCATCTAATGCCAGTGAGAACATACGACAACCCGATGAAATTGCAAGCATCACTTAAGAGACAGCAAACTGTGAGCACTAAAATAGTACAATAGAATTGCTTGTTCACATATCTTAATAGTAACTTACAACTTGTTTTTTTTTATTGCTTATATGTGTAGACGACCTCACAGGCCACCTGGTGTTAAGTGGTTACTGGAGCCCATGAACATTTACAACGTAAATGCGCCACTCACCTTGAGATATCAGTTCTAAGGTCTCAGTATAGTTACAATGGCGGCCCCACCCTTAAACGCATTACTGCTTCACGGCAGAAATGGGCAGGGTGGTGATACCTACCCGTGCGGACTCACAAGAGGTCCTACCACCACCATTGTTGATGCCTATGAACGACGGTCACCACTTGCCATCAAGATCAGTATGCTGGTCTGATTTTGATGGCAATAAATTACATAGTTACAATATTATTCAAACAACTAAATCGTCTAAGGCCTAAGCAAATAAAACAGTTTGGAAGATGTAAGAAACTCACCTCGGCTAATACAGCGTTAATAACAGGTTTGTACCGGTTGACTTCGGAGGAACTGTGGTTCTTCACGTGGGAAAGCAGATTGTGGACGGTTACGCAAGTCCTGGCGCATATCGGACACAGTAAGGGCTCTGAGGAATAAAGAAGATTTAATGTTGGCTCCTAATGTGCCGGCACTTGGATGTATCGTGGTCTGGACGAAGCGATAGATGCTGTTACGCCGGTAAGAGTAACGCTATCTATCGCCGAATAGCCGAACGAATATCGTAGGATCTAGTACCGCCTAGAACGCTCGAGAAGCACAACGCTATCTATTGACAGATAGCGGAAACTACTACTAGAGATATGTGGAATATTCTCGATAATTCGAGGGATGTGGTATCGGCTATAAAAGCGTTGCAGGGAGGCACGCAGGCAGTCAGGAATCGGAACTACTCGAAGCGAAACAGCGAACTGATCAACTGAAGCGGAGCGGAACAAGCGAATTGAGAGTTTTAAAGTGTTTAAGTGTTTTAAGTGTTGAATACAGTTTTTAAGTTGAACTTTGGGGAAATTTTATTTATCCCGAACCACGGCGCGTAACAATACTGTATGAATAAAAGTGAATATCAACCCAAGGTTACAAGTTCTACCCTGTGCGACTAACTACCCTAGGCTGCAAATGATTTATGTGATAATTTTGATTGGCTTTAGTTTTAATTTAGAAAATTGTGAATGTGTCTTTGGAAAAATCTTCATTATTATAAACCTAAGCTAGTAACAAAGTCTATATACTACTAACTCTTGTTAGATGTCCTAGGACCGCGCCACGACTTTTGGTAACAATCAGCGCACATTTTGCAGCAAGTCATCTCCTTTATGTACATCTTAGGGTCTTCATCATCTTTTTCGGATTTCCCTTCATCCTGGGCACTTGATTTGCTGAAATAAAAATTGACGTCACTTTTTTTTGTATTTCTGAGGTGTGCGGACGATCTCACGGCCCACCTGGTACTAAGTGATTACCGGTGATGATTACCCACCTCGAAAGAGGTCTCCGTTTTTACAGTATAACAACTACCCCACTCTTCAAACCGAAATACATTACTGCTTCGTGGCAAAAATAGGTAGGGTGGTGGTAGCTACCTATATTGACTCACAAGACGTCCTACCACCAGTAATTACGCAAATTGTAAATTTGCGGGTTTTGATTTTGATTACACGACGTTATTCCTTCACCGTGGAAGTCAATCGTGAACATTTCTTAGTACGTATTACATTAGAAGAATAGTACCCGCCTGCGGGATTCGAACACCGGTGCATCGCTACATACGAATGCACCGGACGTCTTTTAGGCCACGACGACTTCAACGGCATTATGGTACAACAAAATTCCATTTGTTATTAAATGGTTACCAGAGTGCTGAGCTCACTCAGGGCAAGAGCTGGTCCTCCTGAAGACATGTGGTTTAAGTCTCATTTTTATTGTACAGCGGCTATCCCACACTTTGTCCCACAATGGATGACTGCTTCATAACAGAATTAATGCATCAATATTGATTGTTGTCACGACGTCCAAACTCTTATGACCTACAATTACTAGAAGACATAGACTAAGCCGGAGACTTGACATTGTGAATTTTCTAGACTTAAAAGGACGACAGGAAAAAAGACAAGTATTACAACTTTAATACCCTAAACGATGACAAACAATGAACCGACCATTGAACTGTCATAGCATTTGTAATAGCCATATCTTTTATTGACGTGAATTATTAAAATAAGCAGATGTAGGTGAAAGATATTGTTCATATTGAAAACTTCCTTCTGGACTTGCTCCTAAAGACTCATATGGATATGCTTACCTTTTATCAAAGAGCATGTAAACTGAAGAAATAGACTCTTTGGGTTTATAGACAACCAAGGCTTCGCTGTCTTCGTGCTTTTCTTTCGTTAAAAGGACCTGAAAAACAGTATTTGAAATGAATAATGATTTAAGCATTTTTTTTAGATTTTATGATTTTTACTGGTGGTAAGACCTCATGCGAGTCCGCATAGGTATATACCACTACCCCGCCTATTTCTGCCGTGAAGCAGTTTTTACTGGTGGTAGGACCTCTTGTGAGTCCGCACGGGTAGGTACCACCGCCCCGCCTATTTCTGCCGTGAAGCAGTAATGCGTTTCGGTTTGAAGGGTGGGGCAGCCGTTGTGACTATACTGAGACCTTAGAACTATATCTCAAGGTGTGTGGCGCATTTACGTTGTAGATGTCTATGGGCTCCAGTAACCACTTAANCCGTGAAGCAGTAATGCGTTTCGGTTTGAAGGGTGGGGCAGCCGTTGTGACTATACTGAGACCTTAGAACTATATCTCAAGGTGTGTGGCGCATTTACGTTGTAGATGTCTATGGGCTCCAGTAACCACTTAACACCAGGTGGGCTGTGAGCTCGTCCACACATCTAAGCAATAAAAAAAAAAAAAAAAAAAAAAAAAAAAAAAAAAAAAAAAAAAAAAAAAAAAAAAAAAAAAAATGCGTTTCAGCTTGAAGGGTGAGGCAGCTGTTGGAACTATGCTGAGACTTTTCAACTTATATCTCAATGTGGGTGTCGCATTTACGTTGTAGATGTCTATGGGCTCCAGTAACTACTTAACTAGGTGGGCTGCGAGCTCGTCCACATATCTAATCAATAAAAAAAAAAAAATTATGGACATTTTTGTTTATTTGCACACAAAAGGATTTTTCTTCAAAAATATCATATTTTGATGTTGGTACAAATTTGACACCCTTTGTCATGGAAGTAAAAGTAGTTTGTTATGCTTATGGTTCGTGAATACAGAAAACTATTATTATATACTATCAATCAACTATTATTGCAAAATGGAACTTTAGAGACATAATCTTGCTAGGTCAACATGAATGTACAATATGAGTCCAAGCAAATCGACACTATATTAAATCTGTTATGTGGATTTCTGATACACTTACAACATCGACAGTTTGAACTGGTTTAGATTTCTTTGAAGATAAACTGTAGTTTTTAACAGTTCTCTTCTCTTTGTATCTTGGTAGCACACACTGAAATATTTCAGATTTCTTGTCACCATCTTCATTTTGAACACATGTCTTGCTCCATATTGTTGTCTCAATTTTACCTGTGATAGAATTTTTTTTCTTATTTATAGTTTTTTTTTTTTGTAGCTTAGATGGTTGTACGAGCTCACAGGCCACCTGGTTTTAAGTCACTACTGGAGCCCATAGACATCTACAACATAAATGCGCCACCCACCTTTGAGATATAAGCTCTAAGGTCTCAAGTATAGTTACAGAGGCGGCCACACCCTTCAAACCGAAACGCATTACTGCTTCACGTCAGAAATAGGCAGGGCAGTGGTACCTACCCGCGCGGACTCACAAGAGTACCTATCACCACCATGTCAATGACAAATAGGTATATTGGGTGCAAAATAACTTTTCTGAAAGTAAAACGCTTAGCTCCACCTCAAAACTGAAAAGAATAACCATTACAACGCTCTGCAAAAATACTAATGTTTTGAGTAAATTCACAGTAAGGGAATTGTAAACTTAACTATTGATTTGCATTATGTTTTATAGTATACAGAGCAAAAAATATCTATTCATATATGTAGTGTATTAGTGAGGGTACTTGTTCTCTTTTTAATAAAAGGATTGCGAAGTACGGGTTGCATAAAGACAGACAAACAATGAACTGATTTGTTACCGAACACATGTGCTTAAGTTCTTTACTAAATAATAAAACATAATCTATACTAATATTATAAAGAGGAAAGATTTGTTTGTTTGTTTGTTTCGAATAGGCTCCGAAACTACTGGACCGATTTGAAAAATTATTTTTCCATTAGAAGCCGACATTGTCCCTGATGAACATAGGCTACTTTTTTTTTATTTATTTTTTTTGGTTTCATGTGTGTGTTAATATTTCCGAAGTGAAGCGAGGGCGGGTCGCTAGTAATATATAAAAATGATCATGTTCATTTATTTGTCCTTTAAAAATTCTAAAATTATTCAACCAACTGTCATTAAACTTAGTACATTTTAATTTCTCCAGGAAACTTTTTGTACCTTCAAAATACTATACTACAGATTCCAGATAGGTAATACTTAGAAATGAATGTCTATTATACAATTAACACTAAACAGGTGCATGCAAAGACTACATGTTAAACTAATTTTATTTAATAAAAAATTGTTAATTGAACTGTTGTCTACGATTTGAAGAATGTGAAAAAGTTTCTAACGGACTGTCAAAATTCACAATGTTATTACTAGATTTATTGAAACCACAAACCTGTTTGTTTATTAGGGACATTCCTCAGCACAACACTCCTGGACGAACTATGTGTCCTACCTCGCTCTGGTCTAAGCATGGTATCACAGTGCTTAAAATGCTCTATGCAAACATTATTCCACACTCCCAACCTCTTTAGATCACTGTTATCTTGCTTCACAGCTTTCACAGGTAGACATAACGGGTCGTCGTAATCAGGTATTCTAATGTTTAGTTTCTTACGCACGGCGAATTTCTCTTGAGCAGATACTAATCTGTTTTCTTTTAATAACTCATTAATTCTTTTTGAAATAGTGTTGGCTTTAGTATTAGTGGTACTATTGTTAGCAGTAGTTTCGACTTTTGCCCGCTTTTTTTGTGGAACGATTTTTTTTTTCTTTGATTTCGTACTCGGTGGACTAAGAGGTGCAACGTCTTCTTCAGGGTGATAATCAGAATCGTCGTCTTCCTTTTTTCGTTTTTTCTTTGGTGGACGTTCGCGCTCTACTAGCAGGGAGAGTAAATCTGTTTTATCATTATCGGTCACAGGGCTGGACCCGTATGGCTTTAACTCTCGAGTTTGAGGTGTTTGAAAGCATTGTTGAACTATTTCAGCATCCTCTTCCAGATATTCGACTTCACCTTCAGATTCCATATCAGTATTAATAGTATGTATTGACTATGTAATAATGAACAATTTGAATTATTAATAGAAGACCTTAGGTAGGTACTAACTCCACTTTGTTCCAATGTTCATGACAAAAACAATTGATAAAATTATTAACAATAACCATAGATTTTTTTTTTGGTACAATTGTTCCTTATTAGGAAAGGCAAGGGGATCTATGCCCATACTCTGTTGTCTGTTCTATTTATATATATATTTTTTTTTCTCTTCTTTTGGCAATAACGTTAACTTTTTGCCAATGACGTAAATTAAAAGATTGGGAAACCAAATTAAAAAAGGATACGAAACACGAAAAACGATCAGATAAATAGGAAGAAGTTTGAAACGGATAATAAAAATTTCATAAATATACATAAATACACTTACAAATAAATTATTTAAACTAATATGGTTCTGAAGGATCAGAAGGATAAAATATGACAATATTTTATAAAATATACATAGATACATAATTATACAGGATATACAGGTAGGAAAATGGACATTAAGAGATATTAGATCATTCAGGAATGAGAAGCGGTCGTGAAAAGAAAATGTAATCTAGATCGCATTTATCGGATTCACATTCACATATGTCAGTAGATATTATGCCTAATCTACTAAGATGAACAGGAGTGCAAACATGACCCAAACGCATTCTTATGATAGAAGAACATACTAGCTTATTGCATTTAGCACGGAAAAACCATGGCTTAAATGAAATAAGTGGCTGAAGGTTAAAATATCTCCTGCCTTTTGATTGACCAGTTTCAGTCCAAAGTCTATTCCAGCGATCCTGAAGGTGAACTAAAAGAACAGCGCCTAGATCTAGGCAATAAACTTTATAAGGGAAAATGTCTCCATCTTCCACAGCTTCATCAGCTAGTTGGTCTGCTTTTATATTACCAGGAATGTCACTATGGCTAAGGATTCATACAAAGAGCACAGAAAGACCAAAATGATTGCATTTATCTAATAGATTAATTTCTGAAATAAATTAACCATAGATTTTTTTGGTACAATTTTTCTTTAATAAGCAAGTATCTATGATTTTTTAAGGGATTTTATGACCTGGTAACTAAGACCTTTAGGTTATGTCTTATTTTAATTTATATTCTTATTCTTATGAAAAATTGTGAAATGAAATGAAGATGATTTATTTGAGACATTAATCAACTGGAATGAAATTAAATGAAATGAGATGAGATGATATGGGATGAAATATAATCTCAGTAAAATGGTGGTCATTTACTGTAATTTTTTCATTGGACTTTTTGGAAGATCCCAAGAAGTTACGTCCAACGGATTTGTTTCATTTTCCCACATTTGTGCACTTTCACAGATACTAAACAGTTAATAAACCACCGTTATTACACATTTGAACACGAAGAAACACTAAATAGACAAAACAAAACAAATCTTACACCTTCACTCCTCGCGTCCCGCCAAAAAGTCCTAGAGAAACCTTACTGTATTCAAAAACTGTCTACAAAAAGTTATACAACCTATGGTGAGAAATGGTCATCTAATGATGGAAATCTGTTGAAGCTTGAAGCACTTGAAAGTTATTTCAAGTAGATCGTTAAGAAATGCCTAAGAATATTAATAAATCGAAGATTGATCGATAGATAAAAAAAAAATTAAAGCACAGTTTTGATGCATATCAATTAACAGAAGTATTTTATATGTAATTTGTTAAGGTGTTTCATAAAGTGAAATTTATGCGATAAATACGTTAACTCTGCCATAATTTCCGTTACACACTTGTAAAAGTGCACAGATCTTGCAAAATTCATGAACTCTAAGTAAGTTCATCTTTTACCAAAACGATACATCATTTCGTGTCATTCAGCAAGTAATTTTTAATTCACCTTATTGAATTTCATATATTTTAATTCCTGAATCATGTTCATTTCATTCGGTTTCATTCCTTTTCCCATGGAAAGGATTAACCGGACGGCTAAATTAACGCAGAAGCCGGGAAGAAAACCTGTCTATCCTTCAAAACCATTGTTTTTCAAGAGACGAGAGAGAGAGACAAAATCTAAATCTTACCGACCTAAGTCAATTTAATCTCCATATAAAAAATTAAGTTCCTTAATCGTCATAGAATTATAATTTAATAAAATAGGACGAGACTTTCATTAGTTTCTAAGTGATCTATATGCTAATTCCCAGCCTGTTGATATTCATAAATTCGACTGTATTCAACGAATAAAAACGGCCTACCAGATGTTCAGTGGTCACCAGAGTTCATAAACAAAAACTTGAATGTCTTACCGATTTTAAGACAGGACTGTAAGTTTCCGTTCTGTAATAAAACGGCACTTCAAACTGAAACACACTATTGCTTCACAACAAAAATTGGCAGTTTTAGTTAAATGAATAACTTGTAGTTTATGACCAGATTTTCAGACGCGCTGTTTTTGGCATAAAAATAAATCTGATGTACGGTAGGTGATTTGCCACCATAATGAATTGGCTGTATGGGTTCCTATTGCCTGACGAAACTAATTAGGCGAACTACAAAAATTTTGAGTTTTTTTTCACCTGGTGTTAAGTGGTTACTGGAGCCCATAGACATCTACAACGTAAATGCGCCACCCACCTCGAGATATAAGTTCTAAGGTCTCAGTATAGTTACAGCGGCTACCCCACACTTCGAACCGAAACGCATTACTGCTTCACGGTGGAAATAGGCGGGGTGGTGGTACCTACCCGTGCGGACTCCCAAGAGGTCCTACCACCAGTGATTACAGAAATTATAATTTTGCGGATTTGGTTTTTATTACACGATGTTATTCCTTCACTGTGGAAGTCAATCGTGAACATATGTTGAGTACATATTTCATTAGAAAAATTGGTACCCGCCTGCGGGATTCGAACACCGGTGCATCGCTACATACGAATGCACCGGACGTCTTATCCTTTAGGCCACGACGACTTCAATATATCAATTCAATATATCAATCAATATTATCTATGATACAACAGACAAAGCTGTATGGGCTTAGATCCCTTTGCCTACCCTGGTAAGGAAATATTGTACGAAAAAAATATCTATGATACAGATTATACAAAATAAAAGGTAGACCGTAGAAGAAAAAGAAAAAAAAACCTGGAAATTAGACAACATGTCGGACAAGTTAGTTATTTCTATAAATAACAAAAATATTGAGTTTTTAATTATTTTTAGTATAGGCTCTATCTATATTCTAAAAGAAGCACTAATTTTCAAAAATGTTTTATCATAACTCACTTCACAGAACTTTTTAATTCGATTAACGCGAGTGACGCTCATCCATGTGTTATTTTCATAACAAAATCAATATTTTTTGTTGATACTCCACAGCGAAGACTGGTTAGATGATGACTTCGGAGGTGAAAGCCTGACCGACTTCAATCCTGGAAATGAGGAGGAGGATTTGCTCTTAGCTGATGATTATGAAAGTGGTCCTCAAAATGTGCCAACTTCAATCAGACCATACAATGAACGGGAAATACTTATTCAATCAGGCGACTATTCTACGCATCCCATAGAGGATAACCAGGTAACTAAATTATTGACGCCTTTTATCTTCTTTTGTCTATCTTATTTTCAGAAGAAAAATAATACAAAACAGTTTGTGAAAAATTACTAAATAACTTATCGTCAATTACTCAAACAATATTTTTAATTGCAAAACGGTTCAATTTCAATAGTCTCCTGTGTTAGTTTTGCTAAATTTTTTCTTCAGTGAAATAGTATACCCATTTATATTAAATTACTCTGATTAAGCACTGTCTCAAAGAATATGTCCATGCAAGATGGAAGTGAAATATTATTACAGTCAAAATCTGTTATAACGACATCGAAGGGACTGCTCATATTCAGTCGTAAAAACCGATAGTCATAACAACTGGTGATGTTTAATGTGTATTGTGCAAGTACAAACAAATCGATAGAGAATTATTGGAAAAATATATTTATTCAACTATGTACATTTTGTTTATTACACATAAGTACAATGTATATTATTTTTCTGTGAGCATAAAATCTGTAATTTTGGTCTGTTTGGAACACTTCTGCTGTGCATAGATATGTATTTTGTAATTCACGTTGGATTTTAATTAACGTATCGTCATGGCTCTTTCCAAATAATTTAAATTGTTGAGTGTGATACACCATATTCCTTTGCTAAGTCTTTGTTTGAAATTCCGCTCTCTAGCTTGGATATAATATTCGATTTTTCTTCAATATTAATTTTTCTTTGCGACATTTGAAAAGTTTCACGAATAACTCCACAAAGTTTTGGTGCGTCTTGTGTATAGATAAGTAACAAACTAACTGAAGAGATATGAAGAAGCGGGCTTTTACTCTACTGCATGCACATGTTTTGTTTCTAAGAATTAGAAAAGACCCTACACTAAACTAAATCCTATTGTTTTCTTTCCCGATTTTCATAGCCATTGAAGACAAATGTGGATACCTATTCAAATTATTTACAATACAGCTTAGCTGGTCCTTCTAACAGATCTAATTCTCCAAAAAATTTGTTAGATGTGGTCGTTTTATGAGGTATATTGTTATTAGCAATGTCGTATAAAGCAATGTTTTTAATAAGGCGGTCATATAGCATTCAGCCGGGACCTTTGTTCTAGGTTATTATAACCGGCATGTTGTTCTAAACAATGTCGCAGTAAACGGTTTTGACTGTATATTCAAAACAATTAAATTTCGTATAGGACAAAACTAGTGATAAAATAAACAGAACTTCTTCTTCTTCTTAATTATGGGTCGGCACCATTCGTGCATTTGGCCAGTGTCAACTATTTTAAACAGAACTTATAGTATAGTTGGTAATTAATTAATGTAATTCTTTAATCAATAATTTATGAGCAATGTAAGTGGATTAGAATCTTGTGATAATCAGTAATATTTAATGATCGTGAGAGTATCAAAATCTGTATAAAAGGAGCATAAAGGACATCATTGATCACAAAATGCAGTTACTAGTAAACTTCCAAAGAAACACTAACGACAAAGAAACAGAAAATTCTATATCCCACACTGCCAGAACCTCTCCAATAGTTTAACTTGAAAACTACCGTTTTGGATTAGCAAAATATAGATAGAAAAAAATATTCATGAGCCAGAAACAACTCTACAGAACGGGTCATGTACAATATCTAATACTTAAATTGTATTTTGAATGCTGAACACAACCCATATTAAAGTCTTTTTACACAGCATTTAAGTCAAGCAAATTTAAGCAAAATTATTTTCAATTTCCTCTCTTCGTAATATGATCGATATACTTAGTGCCCTGTAGAAATTGGATAACTTAAGTTCTCTGCTTGGTGAACGGTAATGCGATCTTGCATCGATAATCCTCAATGCTGAGGGTCGTGGCCTCATCTAACAGCTTTCTCCTGTATTATTCTGCACCATTCCTGCCTATCCTCGGATCCGGTGTGGATAGCAACGTGGACTGAAGTATTGAGAGTGGAGTGTATCTGGTCCGACTAGCGACTTGCGCTTCTGCCTCTGGTCCTTCTTCTGCTAAATCTCTTCTAAAAGCACTGCAGTGGAAGAATGTGGGACCCCACCATGTGTACTTTCCCAAGAAAGCCTCATTTAATACACTCTAGATCAAGTGACTTTGGTCATAACAGGCAAGGTATGCAGAAGAATTGCGATCTACAGTTCTAAGTCTCTAGTAGAATTGTTCAAAAATGTTCCAAAATTGTCTTTGTGTTATATTTTTGAGATAAAAGAAGTTAAATACAAAAACATTTAAATATCACGCTTAGTATTACTTATTCTAGAATATAAAAATATAAGTCTATGTAAATGAGTGGTTTTCACAGCCCTTGGTGTACCAGCCAGCTGTTGAACCAGAATGTGTTGTTCCAAACATAACAGTTGAGGTACCAAACCAGCCTACAGATCATGGACATTGCACATATGCTCCATATGAGCCTGCATATGACCCAGAAAGAACAGTTCCTCGAGCTATTGTGAGTAAACGATCATATTCTTTATCTCTCCATTCAAACTAGTTTGCTGTTGGATAAAGAAAGCCTTTGAGATAATTACTTAGTGTTCAAATAAAAAAAAATTACAAACAAAATTTACATTTAGCAAAGAATCCCCAAACCCAATAAGGAGTTTTAACCCATTGAACCACCATGATACACCATGCGTCTCATAGCATACTTTCTTCCAAGGCCACTAATATATGGAATATTGCCAAAATACCACCAAAGATGAGGGGTCAGTTTACTAGAAAATGGTGTCTTGTCTGAGATATTAAATACTTTAAGATACAGATATGTTGTGATTGTTGCAGCCCTAAAACTCTAAAACTGCTGGCTAAACTTTATCAATGCACTAATTCAATTATTTCCCCCGTGAAGTGGTAGGTGCTAAGATGCATCTCTCATAACTCTCATCTTATTGCAGCCTGCTGGACCAGTTGAGTCGCCACAGATTGTACCTTCTGAAATCAATCAACCAATTGCAAGTGAGTTGTAATGTATTAGTTATAATTTTTTTTATTTATTGCTTAGATGGGTGCATGAGCTCACATCCCACCTGGTGTTTAGTGGTTACTGGAGCCCATAGACATCTACAAGTATACAAGTATAGTTACAACGGCTGCCCTGCCCTTCAAACCGAAACGCATTGCTGCTTCACGGTAGAAATAGGCAGGGCGGTGGTACCTACCCGTGTTGACTCACAAGAGGTCCTACCACCAGTAATTACGCAAATTATAATTTTGTGGGTTTGATTTAATGTATTAATGTTGTTTTAATGTATTATTTGCGTTCTGGTGTTTAGTCAGCTTTTCTTTTGTATAATTAGTATGAGAAGCAAAATGATATAGAGAGGTTAATCGTCTTAAAAAACATTATTGCAGCTTAACATGAGAGCCATTTAAAGTTTAAAATTTGGAAAAAATATCACAACAGAAAAACTTCTTCGGCTATTTGTAATCTTGAATGCTCTTAGTGTAGGTAGAAGATGTTATACTTTCAGGTTTTTTTAGCATGATTGACGAAGAACCTCATATACCATAATTACTGGAGTCTATGAGGCTAAAATCCCAAGACGATTACATTGTATAATTGCTGTACTGCTCTTCAAACTAGAACATGGTTACTTCAGAACAGAAATAGGCACAATAGTCGTACCTAGCTCTGTGGCTTGCAATAAATACTGCTGCGTAAAAAAATTTTTAGTCAAAAAAATTTGTTTATGTGAACTTTTCTTAATTTTTAGACGTAGAGATGGGTCGCCAGAGATTCATTGCAGAACGTAGCCCCGCACAGAGGATGCCTCAAGTCAGAGATATACCGGACACATTAGGTGAGCACACACACGCTTCAATATAAAACAAAAATATCCTTATTGGGAAAATTTTCAATGATCACAAATCTTTAAATCAGAACCGGTGGAAATTATAATAAAATATGAGTCTCAGTCTATGGGTATTGTAAATATTATAACTCCATATTGAATGGTAATAATTGGATATTGATTGGCACATTATTGATTGGTTGGTGGGTTGGATCGGTCATTGAATTAAGACTATGACACCTAAATACATACCGTTTTAGTTAGTAAATGAATCTTTTTATGTCCACAACAAGCGTGATTATTCAGAACTGACGCAATTTTTTTTTTTCAAAAGTGCTATTTATCAAAGTTACCACACACGTCACAAATGTCACCACACGTAATACACACGTCACAAACGTCACCATATGTAACTTGCACGTCACCACACGTCACGCGAACGTCACGCGCACGCCACAACGCTTCATCACACGTCACGCGCCTTTCACACGGTCGCACCGAAGGCGTACTCTAATTATTTAAAAAAAAAAAAATTAATGGCCTGGATTTTTTTTATTTTCCAATACAGCATTGTCTACTGTCCAACTATGTACCGTTTACTCTGATTCTGTGTAATCAGCTATCAGAACACCTTGGATGTTATTTAAATGACACTAAAGTTGGTTTTCGTTTGCAGATAAAGTGGTGATACCCCGCAGTTCGTTCCGCGGCAGGCCGTGGATTCGATCCCAGTACACCAGGCACTCGCATCCTTACCGGACCAATTATGTACATCGGGTCAGTTTAAAACCATCTATACTAATATATAAATCTACAGTGGTGTAACCGTGCATCCGATTGACTTGAAACTTGGTATCCATGTAGAAAATACATGTACTTAATGGATAGGCTAATATTTATATGAGTGTTGGACTCTCTACACCAGTTGCGGGGGCGTTAATGATGATAATCTTTATGGGGCTGAGAAATAAAAATGTTAATTTTAAATGCCCAGCGAAGCGGACGTGTACAGCTAGTTTATTTATAATATAATAGTTACGTTATTAAATTGCAGTAGGGGCTTGTTATTGTGTAAATTATTAAATGTGATAATTGTCATTAAAATTGCTCTAATTTTCAGGCTAAATTTAATCAACGCGTGTCCTTCCCGCCGCCTCAAGTTCGTCCAAACGCCTCACAAATTCGAGTAGAGAACCGGCCTCCAATCCAACCAGTGATTCGCCCACCAACCCAACCAGACTTTCGACCACCCGTTCAATCGGAGATAGGTCCTCCTATCCGAACGGAGGTCCGCCCACCCATCCAACCGGATATCCGTTCGACCGTTCCACCTGGAATCGGACCACCTAATCAACCGGACGTTGGACCACCGACGCAACTGGACGCGCGTCCTATTCAAACGGAGATCCGGCCGCTGGTCCGGCCCGACATGCCGCCGGATATCCGTATCGTCCGACCGGAGATGAGGCCCATGCGCCCGGAAGAGTTGCCTCCTCCCATGCTGGCACCAGAGATATCCCCGGAAAGAGCACCACATCCGGAGTTCAGAATGAATCCCCCGAGGTTCTTCAGGCCGAGCATGGAGGGACAGTTTGGTCCGGGCAGACCACACTTCGAGCCTCGCGGGCTCCAACACTACAGGTACGGACGATCGACCCTCACCTGTTAACCACATCATTTTTTTATTTTCATTTTGTGACCTTGCAAAGAGATTTTTAAGCCACATCTTATTCGTTCTATCTTATTAATTTGAGATGGAATGAAATATAAGTCTTAGGAAAATGAAAGAATAATTACTGAGACTTTTTTAATGGACTTTTTGGAAGAACTCTAAAAACTACGTCCAATGGCCTTACGGCTTCGTTGCCCCACATTTGTGCACTTGTTGTGCATTACAAATTTGAACCTGAAGAAACAGTAAACGAACAAACTAAATCAACCCCCACTACGCGGGCAGGTCGGCGCGCGCTCCCCCGCGGCAGGAGGTGCGCATGCTACCCGTGCTGCCGCCGCTCGCCGGCAAGAAGGTGCTCATCAACCCGCACTTCAAGGGAAACTTTCAGCCGCCGCTCGAAGGTCAGTCCCACCACACGCCCCCACTGTACTCCCACACGGTCCCCCACAATACCCCACACGGCCATCCACTAT